AAAAAAAAAACATTATTATTTTTTAGATCGATTAAAAATACATATGTGAAAAAAGAACAAAATAAGAAAACCCCTCAAAGATCGGGTGTAAACTGTCGGGTTGAAAATGAGAACCTTTCATCAGAAAAATACATAGCTGTGATCTGCTGTTACTTATCATCAATAAGGCTGATCCACTGTTATTGTTGCAATTGAAACAACAACTTTTTTCTTCTGTTCTTCAATCTAAGCTGATTTAACAGGGAGAAAAAAAAGCTTCTTTTTTTTATTTTTGCACTATTAGTACTATACAACAGACCAAAGCAGAGAGAGCACTGTCTGGTGAGTATCAGTGAAGTCAAAGAGAAAAAATCTTTCATTTATATCATCGATTATCGGAGATGACAGCAATGCTTAACAGTGACAACTAATCACTTTCCTAAAGGTTGTATAAGAAAAAAAAACCTGAAAAAGCACAAATATCCATTTTCAGATTTTCCACTATCACAACCTCATTGTCACCCGTTTATCTCATTTAGCTGTTTGTGAGCAATATGTCAGAAATAATGACATGGTTTTAGACACAAAAAAAATTTATAATTTATTTTTGTTCTTTTTTTTTTTTGCTTTAATTTTGTTTAGATATTTTTCATTTAGAATTTCAAATAATTTGACAGAATTAACGAGACTCTGATGCAATATTTACGATGATTTTTTACTTTTGAAAATTTGGTAAAATCTGAAGAATAGATAAAAAACGATCAAACTAATCGAAATAGTGAGAGAAAAATTTTTTTCAAGATGGGAACACGGTTCGTATGGAAACTGCTATACAATGGTGATCGCTCGTGAACACTACAGCTTTATTGGACCATTTCACGGCTTAAGCTTAACGCTCCATACTCAGGACGACGAATATCTTGCCAAATCTACAGAAGGAGCTGGATTTCAGGTTGCGGTTTGGTTTGTAATAGCTGCTGCAGTTGAAAATTGATAGGCAGTGTTCATGAAACAGTTTTCTAGGTGGAAGTTCATGCACCGGAATACATACCTTTTCCGGAGGATAAGGGATTTACTGTATCACCAGGAGTCAAAACCTCAGTTGGGGTAAATCAGTTTAGGATTGAAAAACTGATTAGCGTCTTGAATAACACAAATGCTTAACATCTGTTCTATTAGGTGAAACTACAACAGATCTCAAGATTATCTTGGCCATATGATGGTACTGAATGTGGAGATTATTATGACGAAAAATTCAAATACGAATTAAGGTTAGCTTTTAAGTGTAGGCAACTTTGATTTAAAAAATATAGCCAAAATTTTTAGCAGCTTAATTCAAAAAACAGCTGTTTACACAAAACTCCTATAAGTGTAATCATTTAAGAATTCTGTAGACTTCTGCTGGTTCAGAAGATATCCAAATAAAACGTTGTTTTTTCTTCACTGCAGATTATTAAACGACGCTTTGTCTAAAAGTTCCATCCCATAAAGCCATAAAGTTAAACTAATCTGCTTAGTTCGCTTCTCAACTGAACACTTCTGTCTCAACGATGTTTCTTTGATGTAAAAATGATTTTGGCAAAATAAAGGTTTAGACTGCAAGTCAGTTATAGAAGAATGCGAAAAATCTTATCCAATTCGTTTAATTTCAACTCACTTACATCGTGCTTAGTTTACAAAATTTCAGGTCAAATGAAACACTCTATGTACAAAGGTACTCTTCTTCTCATTTTTTAAATACGATGTCATTAGCTCCATACAATGCTTTTGTTTAAACAAAAAAAAACAGCAAAAAAATTGGCAAATACTTTTTTAAGTTGTTTAAATGCTTCGTCTGTTTTTGAAAGGTGACTATAAGTTCAAAAGAAGCTAATGACTAAAAAGTTTCGTTAAAAAACTCTTAATTTTGTATAAAATCCGCTAATACAATAATTTTATTTTTGGTACTCAAAGCTATTACGATCAACGGGTTATCAAAGAGGTGTTAACTATACGCATCAGGCTTGTATCAATTCCTGTTACCAAAAACAGTTTATTCAGGTCACCAAATTAATTTTCTTTCTCATCTGCTTAATTTGAGTGCCACTTATAAGAAAATAAAAAACCGAAGAACGATTGAAACTACTTTATAGTATTGCAGTGTTAGGACTGTATTGCTGTTCATATAATCGGTTCAGTAAAAGCGCCAGAAAAGAATTTAAGAGCGAAAATTTTACAAAATGATATAAAATACAGTATGTATACAGATTTAAATCTATA